CTCTTTAGGTGTATTGCCTGTTGGTAGAGTTCAATATCGGGGAGATTTACTCCTCCTCTTTCCTTACTCCTAGTCAGGGTGGTGTAGGCTAAACGTGGTGATAAGTGTGCCCAGATATATTTCGTGAACATGGACCTAATCGTGTTGAAGAAAGTGCAAGGGATTGCGACAGGGAGAGTCTGTAAGAGATACAGAATACGAGGTAGAATGTTCATTTTAAGTATATTGTTCCTGCATAGCCAGCCAAAGCAGGGCCTGTGCCACGTCTGGAGATCTTTGGTAATGTCTGCCACGAGCGGGGGAAAGTTTAGTGTATAAATCGTCCCTAATCTGTTTGGGATGTGGACCCCTAAGTACTTAATTGACCGCGGTGCCCAATTGAAATTGAATTGAGACTGTAGTATTGAGTCTGTGGTTTTTGCGGTGTGTATTGGTAAAAGATCGCATTTAGTTAGATTCGCCTGGAAGTTGGAGACTTTCCCGTATGTTTCCATCTCTGCTATTACATGGGGCAATGTCAAGAGCGGGTTCACAATTGTGAACAAAAGGTCATCGGCAAACGCCGAGACTTTGTACTCTTGCTTGTCTACCATAAAGCCCTGTATGTTGTTATTGTCTCTAATACCCTGGAGGAACGGTTCTTGGACTGGTATGAAAAGAATAGGAGAGAGAGGACAGCCCTGTCTCGTCCCATTGGTGATGGTTACTGGATGTGATAACTGACCATTGACCCTCAGTCTGGCAGTCGGTGAGGAGTAGATTGCGTCCAGCCACTCTTGCCAGCAAGGGCCAAAGCCTAATTGCCTCATTGTTTGTTGTAAGAGTGCCCAGCTAACTCTATCGAATGCTTTCTCCGCATCGATAGCCAATAGTATGCTGTCAATTTTGTGTGTTTGTGCCCAATGCACCAGGTTAATTATTTTGGTTGTTTTATGTTTTGCTTCTCTACACGGAACAAAACCCGCCTGATCTTGGTGAATGAGGCCAGGCAGGTAAGGTTTCAGCCTGGTAGCCATGATTTTTGTGAGAATTTTTAGATCTGCATTTATCAACGAGATGGGTCTGTAATTGCCACAGGACAAGGGATCTTTCCCCGGTTTGGGTATTAAAGTGATGGTTGCTTCTAGCGCTGACTTGGGTATGTTAGTCGATAGTTTATGGTCATTAAATGCATTCACAAAGGGCTGTGCCAAGGTTTGGGCTAATAATTTGTAGTATTTCCCAGTGAATCTGTCCGGGCCTGGGCTTTTACCTACAGGGATGGTCTTGACTACCTGTTGGAATTCCTCAACCGTTATGGGTTCATCAAGGAAAGCCCTGTCTATAGGTGGCAGAGTGTGTTTTATTCTGGGCATCAAGAAGTCTACTATGTCTTGTGTGGTTGGTTGGGTGGATTTCAGGTTATATAGATGAGTGTAAAATTTATGGAATGCTTTAAGTATGTCTGGCATGTGGCATGTGGTAGTACCGTCTTCTGTTTTGATTTCGGAGATGAAGCAGGATTTCCTGTCTGCCTGTAGTGTTTGCGCGAGAAGTTTCCCCGCTTTACCTCCCTGCGCGTAGTAGGAGCTTTTTGTGAGCGAGATTTTCCGTTTAGCATGTAGTGTCAGGAGCATCGTGAGTTCTGACCTTTTAGTGAGTAGGAGATTGTAATTTTCAAGGGAAGAAGCACCCTGATGAGAAGTTTCCATAGCTTTTATGTCTTTATGGATGATTGTGTGTTCCCTCTTACGTTTAAGTGTCGATGCTATTCGGATCAATTCACCTCGAAGGACTGCCTTATGGGCCTCCCATGTCATAATCGGAGTCGTGTCCGGGGTGGAGTTTTCTTTAAAGTAATTTGTGGCAGTGTCTTTAATTTGGTTGATAGCCTCCTTGTTATTTAATATCAGGTCATTGAGTTTCCATTGAGCTGTGGGATTAGGAATGGAGGGTATGGTCAGTCTAAGTGTGAGTGGCGCGTGGTCTGACCACGTGATTGGGCCATAAGAGGCCTTGTTAATCAGGGGTAAATGTCTGTGGTGCAGGAAGATTGTGTCGATGTGTGAGTAGGTACCTGTGGGTGAGGAGTAGAATGAATAATCTTTTTTCGTGGGGTTGACCGCTCTCCAGCTATCATATAGTTGGGCATTGTACAGTGTGTTTTTCATTTGTAATCTGGACTGTGTTAGATATCCCTGTGAGGTAGAGGTGGTGTCTAGGTCTACATCTAATGAGATGTTGATGTCTCCCCCTATTATAAGGATCCCCTCATAGAAGTTATTTAATTTGCGCAGTATCATATTGAGGGCGTGGGATTGTTTCTTGTTGGGCAAATAGATATTAGCCAGGGTGATTTGGGTGTTCCCCATTTTCCCCTTCATGAAGATAAACCTGCCTGCATCGTCTAATTGTTGGTCCTGGTGTGTGAATTGCGTCTGTCGGCTTACTAGTATGGCTACCCCCCTTGCCTTAGCTTCTGTGTAGTGGCTGAAGTACCCTCTCGGGTAATCCCTGTTTTGGAGCCTAGGGGGGACGTCCTTGCGGAAGTGTGTTTCCTGTACGAAAACAAAGTTCGCCTTATGGCGTTGGAAGTCAGTTAGGGCTACCGACCTTTTCTCTGGGATATTTAGCCCTTTAGCATTTTGCGAGACGACTATTATGGTGGACATCACTGCCGTGTGGTTGACACGCTTGGGCTGAAATTAAGCTGAGCGCTGTGTTAATTATGTTCAATGAGCTGTAGTATATATGTGAGCTGGAGCCTCTGTCAGACTTACCCCGGGGAGTATTCAGGTAGTGTGTGGGGCAGTTGGTAGTACCTGTTATCTCGTATAGGGACGTGTCAGCAGAGAGAGTGGGGGTTCTCCCAGACCTACCCCGGGCACCCGGTTGCGCAGCTAGCCCAGTCGTTCCAGTTGTAGTCCGGTCTTAGTCTTAGAGGAGTCCGTGCTCGGTTTAAGCGTTCGGTTTAGGTCCCTCGTCTGGTATCACTTAATCCTTAATGCATATACAATTCAAGATATAAGTTAAATTAAAAGTACAAAACAGTGTCAATAACAAGGTAAGTGTAACAATGCAACTAGAGTATTCCCTTGACTTGCTATATCAGTAGTATTGTATTAGTCCTAGACTTCCACTCGAGAGGATTATATTATTACACGGTATGTGTCTACGTGATTTGTGTGATGTCTATCTAGGGGAGTAAACCCCATATTGTTCAATACTATTATGGGTGACGTGTAGACGTTTGCACCCAGGGGAGCGTGTAAGATGTTTCCCTTAAGGGGAATATAGTCCTGTCTCGTCTCTGGAGACAGTACCGTACGTAGAATGGGGTTGAGTGCTTCGGGTATTTACCTAGGACCCGGGACTTATTGATCCTATTCACTTAGTCTACCTTTAGGAGAGAAGGTCAGGAGACCTATATCTAAGGGCGTAAACGGCATGTAGGTAAGGGGGAGTAAAACTAGGGGAGTCGGTCACCCGGCCGATTTCAGTTTGAGGGGGGTGTACCAGCTGCCCAGGAGCCCTCCTTTCGTGTTTATGTTATATCTCAGCCTTATCCTTGCGTGGTGGTTACTTAGTTAACTATATACACACATTTTTTTTTTTTTTTGTTATTTAACTAGTAGAGAGTTCCTTTCTAATTGTTGTCTAATCTAGACTCTAAGTCCTGGGCCGTCCCTTGTGTCCAGATATTTTAGTTCCTTTGGGGTTGATTGTGGTTAGACCTGATCTATCTTTGGTGGATAACCCTGGCTACAAATGACAGCCCTATGGTTATGTCTCAGGGTTACTTCTGATATCAGAATATGCAGTAATCGCTTTTAAGATCCCTGGACAAGGAGCATACCGGAGTCATCGCTTAAGTGCTAGGCTCGACCTGACAGCGCTCAGCATAGGAAATAGACAGTTATATGAAACATGAGTAAAACCATGCTACGTGTGTCATTAAACGTGAGAAGCTCAGTTCATTATCTACATTGTCTTTGAGTATACGACCTGCGAGTGAGATAGCAGTCTCTTTTCCGAGTTGGGATGTCCAACCCAGTGTCTCCCCAGTCAGCTCTTAACTTGCTGTGGTGGAAGCTGCTAGGGTCCTTGCATGTATGCAGGTTGAGGAGTCTCGTATGCTGGTAGATTCGGTGGAAAGAAGAGGTTGAAGTTGCAGTGCTGCGTGGTAGTGGACAAAACTCCTGGAGAAGCTGGAAACACCTTCTGTCACTTTAAGTGTCGGGTTGCATGTAGGAAATCAACTTGTGTAGCCGCTTTAGTTGGTGGGGTTTGTTCTCTATTGGGTTTGGGCGACGTGTAGTCATTCCCGGCGGCGATGAGGTGAGAGGAGTCTGTTCTCCACCCTCCTTGTCTTCGCAGGGGTGGTCCATTTCTGCCTTTGGGAAGGTTGAGTGTTGTCATGGTTCGGTATCGGGTAGTTCCAATCCATTATAGCTGTATCTGACAAGTCCAGTGCCCTGAGGAATGGGGAGACATCCAAGATTGAGGCAATTTGATGGATGTTACCCTTGTTATTCACTATTAGGGCGAACGGAAAACCCCATCTGTATCTGATATTTCTATTTCGTAGAATCTCAGTGATTGGCTTTAGTGCCCTTCTCGCCTGTAATGTGTACCAGGAGAGGTCCGGGTAGATCTGAATTGGGTTCCCGTGGAGCGGTTGCGAGGTGTCTCTCAGTGCTCTCAACACCAGGTCCTTGGTTGTATAGTAGTGTAGCCTGCAAATGACATCTCTGGGGGAATCTTGCGGTAGCCCCTTAGGTCGGAGTGAGCGATGAGCCCTGTCTATGAGCATTTGGCTGGTGCCAGAGTCCCCTATTACAAGAGTAAAGAGCTCTGTTAAAATGGCTGTTAAATCCTCATTTTGGGCCTCTGGGATCCCCCTTATGCGTAGGTTATTTCTTCTCCCACGGTTATCTAGATCATCTATATGTCTTTGGGTGGAAGACATAAAATGGATATGTGATTCTAAGGTAGATGAGATATTTAAGATTTGTGCTTGCATTGCATCTTTCTCCTCTTCTAGGTCTGTGACCTTTAAATTCATTTGTTGAATTTCGGTGCCCATTTCTGCTAATTTTGTGTGGAGGGTTGCCTCTAATTTCCCCATCATAGTCTGGAGGTCAGCTTTGGATGGGAGATTCCTCAGCATTTCTTTTATGTCTAAATCCCCACTGTTATCTAATGATTTTAGTGAGTAATCAGACATGTGGGGGCTTTGTGGCTGCATTTCCTCTATGGGATCGGCATCCGCCATCTTGGAGGTCGCGGCCGCGGCCTCCATCTCCCGATCAATATTATCTTTGAAGTAACGGGTGAGGGAGCCTGATTTAGGTATGGGGGTTCTCCCCTGTTGCCCCTGTATCTGTGTTTGCCTCTTGGGATTGCCCATTTCGTTTGTGTTTCTCCGATGGCTGCGGATCGTGCCCGGGTCCGGAGGAGCTGAATCAGCACACGTCCATCAGGCTTCCCGGCTAGCCACGCCCCCGGACATATGTATATTTTGTATTATTATTTTTTATTTATATATACATAGATCTATATGCAATTTCATTCTAAGTGTATTTTGATATAAATATCTATATATATATATATATATATATATATATATATATATATTAATATCAAAATACAGTTAGAATAAAATTTCATAGATATATATTTTTTTTATTTTTATTATTATTTTTACATTTTTAAATTTAATTTACTTAATAATATATATACACAATATATATAGTTATATATATTATATATATAATATACGTGTGTAATTTAATTATAAGTGTATTTTTATATTAATATATTTATATATTAATATAAAAATACACTTACTATGACATTATATATATGATATATAGACATATATTATATAGATAAAATATATGTCTATATATCATAGTTATATACACATATATATTATATATTTTTTTATTAACATTAACCTTTATTTTTTTATTTTTTTATTTTACACTTGCAGGGAGACTGCCTGTCAGCACAGGCAGTCCCCCTGCAGGCAGACCCTAAGACACCTATTGTGACCATGTGTTTGCCCTGTTGAGCGATCACATGGCCCCAGGGGTCCTCATTCTCATGGGGAGACTGCCTGAGCTGCAGGCAGTCTCCCCACACCGGGAGCAACGCCGATCGCCGCCCTTGTGAGTAACGATTATCGTTGTGACGGTTCAGGACCGTCATCAGTCATCAACGCTAAAATGCCAATGACGGTCCTGAACCATCACCCGTTGTTAAGGGGTTAACTGTTTCTATCATATCCTCCCTATCTCATCTTTCCTCCAAGCTATACATGTTAAGATCCTTTAACCTTGCCTTGTAAGTTTTATCCTATAATCCATGAACCAGTTTAGTAGCCCTTCTCTGAAGTATCAAAGTATCAATATCCTTCTGGAAACACAGTCTCCAGTACTGCGTACAATACTCTAAATGAGGTCTTACCAGTGTTCTGTACATTGGCATGAGCACTTACCTCTTTCTACTGCTAATACCTCTCACTGTACAACCAAGCATTCTGCTAGCATTTCCTGCTGCTCTAATGCATTGTCTACTTACCTTTAAGCCATCTGAAATAATTACTCCTAAGTCCCTTTCCTCAGATGTTGAAGTCGGGACTCTATAATGTTTTGTATACTCTGCCCTTGGGTTTTTACTTCCAAGATACATTATCTTGCACTTATCCACATAAAATGTCAATTGCCACAGCTCTGACCATTTCTCTAGTTTACCAAAATCATTTGCCATTTGGCCTATCCCTCCTTGAACATCAACCCTGTTACATATCTTAGTATCATCAGCAAAAAACATACCTTACCATCAAGACCTTCTGCAATATCACTAATAAAAATATTAAAGAGAATGGATCTAAGTAAAGATCCTGGAAGTACCCCACTGGTAACAAGGCTTTGAATATGCTTTGAATATACTCTATTGACGACAACCCTCTTTTGCCTCTGTTGCCTGTCACTAAGCCACTGCCTTACCCATTTAACAACATTGGATTTTAGATGTTCAACAATCCTATCTTTTAACATGGTTTGCATTACTTTCCCCACTACAGAAAGTAATACTTACTTTTTATAGTTGCCCAACTCCTCCCTACTACCTTTTTTGTGAATGGGCACAACATTCGCTAACTTTCAATCTTCTGGGACTACTTCTGTTAACAATGATTGCTTAAGTAAATCCTTAATGATTGCTTAAGTAAATCCATTAATGGTTTTGCTAGTACACCACTAAGCTCTTTTAATAACGTTGAGTGTATTCCATCAGGCCCCCATTGACTTAATTGTCTTTACTTTTGACAGTTGAAATATAACCTCTTCCTCTGTAAACACACATGTAACAAATGACTCATTTGTCCTTTTTTCTAACTGAGGTCCTTTTCTTTCATTTCCATCTGCAAATACGGAACAAATATATTAATTGAGGCAGTCAACTGGACCTTTTTCCTCTTCTACATATATGCTATCTTTTGTTTTTAATCTAACTAAGCCTTGTTTTACTTTTCTTTTCTCATTTAGTTTTCTAAAAATGTTTTGTCAACTTTTTTTACTGACTGTGCTATTTTCTCCTCTGTGTGTGTTTTGGAAGCTCTTATAATTTGCTTAGCCTCTTTCTGCCTAACCTTATAGATCTGTCTATCGCATCACTCTGTTTTTTTCATAATTGCTAAATGCGAACTATTTTGGCCACTTCTGCAGAGTACCACAGAGTACCACAGAAGTGTCTTTAATTTTTTTGCTTTTACTGATAAGCCTAATGCAATTTTCTGTTGCCTTCAGTAGTGCAACTTTTAAATAATGCCATTTCTCTTGGACTCATTTTAAACTGCTCCAGTCTGATAACGACTCCTCTAAACATATTCTTATTGTAGAAAAGTCTGTTTTTCTAAAGTCTAAAACTTTTTTGTTTGTGTGTGACTATCAACTACTTGTTTTAGAGACAATCCCAGTAGGGAGTTTAGAATATGTGTTCTCCTGGCACAAGCAGCTATTTTGGTTTTCCAATTCACATCAGGAAGTTTAAAGTCACCCATGATAATAGCTTTCCCCTTCATTGTCATTGGAGTTATTTCTCAACTAGTAGATTATCTAACTCTTCTATTTGTCCTGGGGGCTTATACATAACGCCTACATGGGTTACTGTGTGATTACCAAATTCTAACGTAACCCAAACAGGCTCTATGTTTGCCTCACTAACTTTTTATTTGGTTAGATTTTAAGCTATCCTTCACATATAGGGCCATCCCTCCCCTTTCTTGCCTTCCCTGTCTTTTCTACATAAAGAGTACACTGGTATTGCTATGTTCCAGTCATTATTCTCATTATACCATGTCTCAGTAACAGCGACTAAATCTACATAATCAGTTGCCGTTATTGCAACAAGTTCATGGATCTTATTCCCTAAACTGCAAGCATTCATAGACATGACTCTAAGCTTATCATTTTTAACACACTTGCTACAGGCACTTTCTGTCCTTGTTTTGGAGGGCAATTGGATTGACTTTTTATCACCCTTTTGCACCCCCATCCCCTTCTAGTTTAAATAAGTCCTGGCAAAACCTCTGAACTGCTCACTGAGAACATTTGTTCCCTTTTGAGAAAGATGCAAACAATCTTTTTGTACAGTTTATTTCCACTCCAAATAGAGCTATAATGAGAAATGACGCTAAATCCTTGCTTCCGACTCCATTCACCAAACCACAAGTTAAAGTCCCTAATACACATTTGTGACAGACACTTCCACCGACGGATGCTCCTAGTGCTGGTCAAGGACCATCAGCACCGCACTTGAAACCATAGGCACCGCAGACTCCACGAACCGCCCGAGCTTGGTTGGGATCTTGGCGTTTCCTTCCCACCCTGGAACTCCAACCTCTGGATCCAGGAGCGTATGGAGAGTATAGCTAGGGCTCTTCTCCAGGTGAGTATAGCTGGGGCTCTCCTCCAGGAGCAAGGAGTGATATAGCTGGTATAGCTGTTCCCTACAACAAGAGCCAAGGCTACAAGTTGAAGGTAAGAAGATCTGCTTTATTGAGTTTCTAGGGGCATTTCTTTCATACAGTTTTCCCCCCAAGGTTACCACCCACATGGACCTTGTTGGGCACTGACAACACAAATCCAACAACCAATCATTTGCAGACACACGGTTAAACACTCCCATTCATTACTGTAAAAGTCCTTCCCTCTGCTTGGGAGATAATTGCTGTATCAACTCAATTATCTCAAAGCAAAAAATATACTTTTTTATACAAATTTTATAACTCGAAAACTATACATGCAATATTAATATATAGTCACATTTTCTGAACCAGCATACTCAGGGGACAAACATATCCAAAAATCATGCGAATTGGTCCAGTGGTTCGGGAGATAGCTGGAAGTCCCATTTTGACTGACCGCACTCACATTTTCATGTCCAAAACAGTTCCAGAGATTTGAGCTGTGCTGCGGGTCTGTTTCCCATGTTAAGTTCAGTTCAAATAGACGAATGGCAACCGTTCGTGCAAACAGTCAATGTTAAAGTGCCTTTCGAATTGTCGAATGGCGTTCAACTCCAGTCGAATTAGTTGACAGTGTTTGTGCCGTCGCATATCCGATTTGAGTTCCATGAACTCGACGGCAAAACACCGCTGAATGCAGTTGACTGAATTAAAATGGGCGCCGCCACGTGTTCGTTTGTCGAATGGTGGCCACTTTAACTACTTCGGCACTTCGGCTGTATGCGAAGTGTCAGTTCAAAGTCCAGCTCCTTTCCCATGGGATTTAAAGGGCCAGAAACAGTCTTTTAGCATCCAATCTGCACAAATTGAGTTTTTAAAAGGCAATACACCCCAGGGGCCATAGTCACAAGGCAAGAGGCTGGACATTGGTCCTTTCTGAGCACTAGTGGTGAAGGGCACTTCGTCACAACATCCGCCAGTCATTCTGAATGTTATACACAGGCAGAACTTCAGAGAATGACAGTGTGGAAGCAACCTGCCCTTTATCATTGGCAAAAACACAAGAAACCTCTGAAACTTAATTGCAAGCCAAGTAATTTGCCCCTAGATGGACAAGTACATCCAATTCCCCTTCCTGCTTTGCTAGCTTAATAATATTACCAATATGTCTCCTGTCTCTGTGAGCAGTATCTCCATGAACACACCTCACAAGGCCACTCTTGTTCAGCTGTACACCTCTTATGATAGAATCCCCCAACAACAACTGCTTTCTATCAGGCCTCATCTTATCCTTTTTGTCATTGGCTGCAGTCGTGCACAACTTTACATAAAGGATGGTGGTTCCACAAACTCAGTGCCTGAGCCTGTCTCCTTAACACCACTACACTTAGTGCCCGGTTTAGTCTCTATAGAGTGCCCCCGGCAAAGCAGGAAAT